CAAAAACAGCGCGTAGCTGCTTTGTTGCATTTTCCCCCACCTTGCTACACCGGAGGTGACGCTACAAGTTAAAACTATTCTATGGTTGCAAGTTCATGCCCCTCATGATCGCCAGTTTTCTAGTTTCTAACCGACATAACTGCTTTTCTAGCGCTTTTTTCATGCGCACGCCCTAACCAATTGGTTTATCCGCACACACGGCACTGCTTTGCGGCGACACCGACTGAGGCGTAGACAAAGCAGACAGAGGAGCAGACGAGGGCGCAGGCGCTGTGGCAGTTGCATTTGCAGCCGTCAGCAAGTTTTTTGTGATGTCATAAAAATGGCAACACAGCATCCCAGCGCAGGCGAGCGCCTTCTATGTACGCCACCCAGCTGCTTCTACGCTCATAGCCTTATAGTACACACTGCCGCAACGTTCGCCAGCAGCTTGTTGAACGCGTTGAAGTTTGGTATTACATGACTTTAAAATTATATATGCGGCAACTCAGCAAGTTGCATGCCACATTTTATACTTTTTTCAGCTATCCATTTTATAATTCTGCAATTTCTTTAGACTGATTAAGTTTATTAACCATAACCGCAGCTAAAGCTGCAAGCGCATTAATGTGTACGTGTATATGTCAAGTACTTTTGTATGTACCATATGTACTATAGATATAAGTCCGCTTATATATATACATATGTATGTTTCTCTAAGCTCATAGCAACATGAATTTAACTCCGCTTAATCCGATGACCAAAGCGAATTTTTAGTATTTGCTGAATAAAGGCTTTTCACATACGACTTTTTACACACCACTAGCTTAGTGTATTCTTGTGTATTATATGATAAGTATAGTTGTGTATTTATAAAATTGGAATTTCTCTGACCATTCTTTTAGTATCTAAATCCTGTTGCTAAAATTATTAGTCGCAAAAAATTTTATAATTTCATGGTAATCAACAATGTAAAGCTTAAAGTTGAGGTTAGGTTGAGTTATGTAGGTAGTTAGGCTTAAGTTTCGTCGGAGACTATGGCAGTTAAGACTATATATATAAAAGCTTACTGTTATTTGACAGCATAAGCCCATATAGAAAGATGTCTCTTATACACATCTATATATAAAAGCTTACTGTTATTTGACAGCATAAGCCCATATAGAAAGAGTTGAAGAGGCTCTAATACACGTACCATGTAGCACAAGCTTCTGGAATATTAACTAATGGAATAATTTATGTATTATATTAAGAAATTTTTATTATATGMTATTTTTGTGTTATCTACTTAGGTGATCAAATTTGACCCAGACTGCCGAAAATCCTATATTTTCATATATCTTTATACAAAACCAATTTTCTATATACTTGGCATATGCCTTGGATGGAATGGATTTCAGTCCTTCAGCGAATTTTGCTGTTTTACTAAATTTTCGAGAAGACCCGTGAAGGATCGACACACATAATTTGAGCAATAACAAAAGCTCTKTCAGGATTGGGAAGGACTTATTCGTGCCGTTCRATAYCAAACGAGKTATTRGTTGAGGCGACTTCTTCAATCTACTGCTGGAGAAAATAAGTCGAGCTGTAGATCTGGCTAGAGAAGGTACAATCTTCTTCAAGAGTGAACAACTGCTTGCGTACGCCGATGACATCGATTCAGTTTTCAGTTTTCCAGGTTAGACAAAAAAGCGAAGCACAAAAAAGCATCTGATAGTAGACGAAGAGACGAAATATCTCCGGCCATCAAACRAACAGTCGTCGTATTCGCGACTTGACTCYCAAGTCACTGTAGGCGGTCTTAACTTTGAAGTCATAGACAATTTCGTYTATCTTGAACCACCATTAACACCAATTACAAAACAACTCTTGCTAATAGATGCTACTTAGGACTTAGAGTTACTAGAGTTTTTATGTCATTATTTTGACATAGTCGACATGTGCGGCCTATGTTCTGGTCATGTAACTTTGGCTTATTTAATATGCACGCCAGAAATTGGCTGCATTGAAACCCCAGTGGCCGGAGGCATATGAATTACATCTTTTTCGGTGTCTAAGTGTAGAGCGGAGCTGTTCTGGCTAGTTCATCTGCTTCACAGTTACCAGCGATATCACCACAGTTTCGGAATATATTTGTTTGGTCCATATTTTCTAATATATTTCTATTCCCCATTTTTTTCTATTTCCTCTCACCAACTTTTCCTATTTTCATTAGTTGTACTATTATATAAGCTTTTAAGCTTCAAAGACTTAGTTTCCTTCCACTATGGTTTTGAGTTTACTTAACAAAGTACTCTTGTGCTAAAGACATTTATCGCAAATAATGTCTAAGAAAATTTTTAATTTTTCCACTGGCAACCTGGCCAAAAGATAGTCAGGAATGAAACATTTGTTGGGCACTTCAGTATTTACTGCTTCGATATTCTCGAATGGTCTTTTTAGCGTATTATGYGGCGCTAAAGGGTTGCAATTAAAGTGTATATCTTCATTAATCTATTAACTTATCAATACATACAAACTACATGGGTAGCGCACACAATTTTCTTGACCTAGTTGCAAAGCACTGCTAATCTCATTTCTTATCTACAATAAATAATATTCCACCAACTTATTGAAAGTGTTTGCTTATTCACCAGCCGTTGGCAACAAAGCGTTTGTCATTTGGACAGCAATTTGACAATTTTTATCGCAACTGTGCAATAGCAACAACTCAACTAACAACAACTCGTTTCCAAATTATTTTCTTYACAAAATTGAAATTTGCGACAATTGCTAATGCCAACAAGTAAATCAGCGCACAAGCAGCGGCGCATGCACGAGAGCATATTGCAGTGGCATGTTACTGTGTGTGACAGCGGTCAAATAATGACAACAAACCATTATTGCAAAATAGTGAAAGCCACAAAGGCGAATAAATTTTTGGGTGTAACATGACCCAGCAGGAGTGTGCGAAAACAGCGAATGTGTGGGTGACAAAGCCAAACACCCCGAAAACATCGAAAACAAAASCCGCCTGTTGGGCATATACTCATAATTGAAATAAAATTAAGGTAAAGTCGACAAAATACATACAAAATTGTATTTCGAAAATATAAAAAATTTAAAAAGTATGCTTTGGAGTAAGCGTAAATTTTGAGAAAAAAATGTAGAAAAAAGTGTAAAAAATGTATTTGCTTTTTGCACATAACTCATTACACATATGTACTTGTAACCAACCGCTACCGTTAGTCGTGCATTTGTGTTTACTCCACATACAATTGCCTTGTATTTCGCATAAATYTTTTGTTCAACAAGTTTTGAATTGTTTTTGCTTTTCATTGGCTTTTTGTATTGCCGTCCACACATTCACTTTCATGCGCCGCAACTAAAGCGCTCGTACATTCATGCCGGTTGGAGTCAGCTATGCGCATTTTTACGATCGTTATTGCTACAATTTCATTTGCGGGCGCAACAACAACTAATGTGAACTTTGTTTGGTGCATATTTTTTGCGATTTTTTAATCGTTTTTATATTGYAGTTCCAATTTTTTACAAAGCGATTGTCTAATGTTTATAAAATTAGGCAGAAAAATTTCTAATATCTGGCCTAAATGTATTTAAAATTTACTTAGATACATTAAAAAATCAAATAATTAAGTCTAAAACAAACAAGTACTAACTCTTTCTCGTCATGTCTGTTTCCTTCCAAACTAAATTGAAATGAATACCAGAAACCAGTGGAGTCGCAACTAACTTAATATGAGTTCGTGAAATTTTTAGCATTTCCCTTCTTACTTCTCCCTAAATCTCAATATAGGGAGAGGAAATGGGACCAAATTGGGAAAGAAGATTCAAAGTAAACATTGAAAAAGATGGATGGCGTAAAGRTTTCTTAGCTAGCTGGTGRAAAGTATTGCCAGAAGCAAGCAACTTYACTTCTACTGGGTGCCAASYCACAAAGSCATCGAAGGCAATAAAATAATAGTGGAGATTGCCAAGAATGGTTTACGGCTAATATCCAAAAACGTTRTAAYCATTAGGAAACCCATGTATTTTCTATACGACGATCTGAACAGAAGCATGATAAAGAAAATCAAAACCCTATGGAACGGGCTGYAAAACTGTATAAGTCACTTGCAAAACGGTAGATAGGAAATACACAAAATTCCTATTGGCACTCGAAAGAAGAGACTGTAGCAACATTATGGTAACACTAACTGRTTACTGTCTAGTGGCGACACACGCCTGCAGTGTGGGACTGTTAGTGCGAGATGACTACAGGATCTGTCTAGAGTASGACACYAGGGAAAAAATTAATGATTTTTTGTGCACTTATCCGTCAAGACTATGCTCTAAACATCTGGGGTCACCACGTTATGGTTAACTGGAAGAGGTGKGGCCGCAGGATCTGTTAAACTTCACGTCAAGGTCAGGCATCTTAAGTCAAGACTACTCTTTTTGGACTTAGCAATTGAAGTCAAGTTGGTATCGCACATAATCGCACTGATCTATGCGTGGCTTATTGACCTACCAGATTAACCTAACTTAACTTAACCTGATTTTTCCATTTAACTGTTATGATCTCTTTTTCAAATTTTCGAATAATATCCTTTTTGAAAATTTAAGCTTCTACAATTCGTACTTCAATTTATGTTTTAAAGAGGAAAATATTTCAAACTACCAAACATTTTTGTTAGTAGCTCTAGAAATTAATTACCAATGAAATCTATTCAATCAACATGCTTTACTTTCTATACAAACAAGTATTTATGTAAGGCATTAAACAGTTCGCCTTTCTTTTCCTTCTTATCTATCAACAAGTCTAACATTTATCTATTAATCCCAATCAAAAGAAATATGTAATATATATAATTTATGTATATGTATGTTCGTACTACAAACCTGGTTGCAATAGAGCACTTTTATAMCAATTCTCCTTTCAATCTGGGTTAATTGTTAAACAATTGATGCACATATTGTTATTTTTCTGTAGCATTTATATGGTAAAATTATCATTTGCATTTCTAAAATAATTAACTTACTCGTTGCTGTTGGTATTTGTGCACCATGTGTGACCAAAGTGGCGATTGACTAGAAATTAGAGAAAATARAAATAAGTATTATATTGTTTGYATGTACAGAGTATATGTAAGTGATRAATTAAAGCAAYAAATAAGTATTTTCATAAACTTWTTATTTCTTACTYTAATATTACGATTACTTTTAACGTGTTATATTTAATASTTGAAAGTAAAATAATGAATTGAAGTTTCTTTTAATGCCTGTGAAAGGATACTCTCATGTTGCTACCAACTTATCGTACTGTATTGTTTTAACAACTGGCCCTCCTTCCAAGAGACGGCGCTACAAAAACTTTGCTCTATGGAATAAGGTTCTCTGAAATGATTGCAGGCTTGACCTACTACTGAGAGGCAGCACAATTTAAACGTGCACCATCGACTCTAAATTGAAGGGTATTGGTAAGGGTATGGTAAGGGTATTCAACGTGAGCGAGGCATTTTGTGCAAGCTACTGGTTTTGCGACATAGAACCGAAACTCCAGAAAAGCTGCCCCACAGCAATCTGCAGACATAGRCTCAAGGCTCTTGGACCCAAATACATATGTGTATAGGAATCACATCAMCTCGATAGCGCCCAGCTAGTTCCTGAAATTCATCAGACAGGTGGGTCTTTATGAAAATATGTGTTAGAAGATGGGACGCAATAGACCTTGCGGTGTAAAACTCTATTAACTATATCTTGGCTAAAACATTATTAAACTGAAAATATGGAAAATGAAGAAATAAATATCACATTTCATGAAAAATTTGATTAGCATCAGCAAATGGTGAGCGAGAGAGGAGTAAAAACTGGAAAAGTAAAAAATAAATATTTATAACCACAGAAACGTATGAATTATTCAAAAATCATAATGTATTCTTCAAAATTAAATACTATACATAATCAGGTCGAATAATAATTAAAAAAAATCCAGCCAAAAGTATTTATCTTTTGACAATAACCACTATATAACACTTTAGACTAGTTAAAAGCGTATTAACACTATACCGACATGCTTGCTGGTTAAAATAAAATTTTCTCTAAGAAGTGATTTCGACTTAACTCCCATAAGTACTCCTCACCTAAAAACTAGTCATTAAATAAACTCAACGTGTCGACTGAAAATTAGCTAATTAATTTTCTATTTTTACCGCAAGCTGAAAACCGCAGTGTAGCTGCAGAAATTTCGGAAAGAATATCGCAATGCACAGCGCATGCAAGTGAAGTAAAAATTGCAAATCTTCGGTTAAAACCATTAACCACCAAAATGAATATTCGCAATAAGGAAGATGTGTAAAATCGCATTCCCACGTTGCTAACTAACGGTATAGGCACTTTCGCCAAAATTACTGCAATCTAGTGAAATTAGCTTTTCTTGCAACAAAGTTCTGCATACATGCATGTGATATGTGTGGTGAGTTCAGGGATTTTGCAAAATATCGCTTCTGTGTGGATTTCTCCATGTAAGTGTGTATGTGCATGGCTAGCTTACAAATAATTTGAATGGATGCAATGTAGCAACTGCACAGAAGGTGGCGAAATTTTATAATGCTGGTAGTCTGAAGGAATATGTGGCACATATCAATTAACCCTCTGAGGTCAATGCAAACAGAACTGGCTAGCGAACGTCATGATACCGCATGATGTTGCTGCATTGCAATTTACACACATAAAAAGTTACTTGCAATAAATAAAAAATAATAATATTCGAGTGCTGAATATTTTTATTGGATGATTTTGAATTTGTTTGCGGCTCACTGATTATGTTATGGTTATTTTGGGTCAAGAAGAAGGGTAAAAGCTAAAGGCTAATTTTTTTGGGTTTTTTGTTTAAGATCGCATATTTCTTCAGTAAATGGTAATGGTTGAAATTTTTTCTATTAATTCATATATTTATAGCGGATTTTTAACAGYTTTCTAGATTGACCGAGAAATTTTCTTAATGTAAGTACTCACGATTATTTGCAGTGCCGCATAGA